CAGGGCAATGAGAGACTTCCTGCGCTCCATCACGCCCAAGGCCTGCCTCAGTCAGCTGGTGGCCGAGGAAAGATGCCTCATGTGTCAGGCTTATTAGCACTCCCCCTACTTTGTATGCATTTGGGATTGTGTGTGTGTTTCATCTGGGAACACGGTTCTAGTTTTAAGTGACACAGACTCTCTCAGTTTTTCAGTGTCCAAAAATGAGTTTTGTCCAGGGCTGTGTTTTGAAAGATATTTAAGCTTTGTTTTGTTGAGGTAAATGGCGGCGGCATGACGTGGCACCTGCTTCACCCTGATGTCTCTCAGCGCATCCAACCAACCACGTCTCACCGTCTTCTCGCTTCAGGCTCGGCTAGCTGTCAATCCGTCCTCTGGTCGGGGAACATGAGCAATTGGCCCATCAGAGTGCCACCATTAGCCAGCCCCCTGAGTGGTAAATAAACGATCACGCCGGTACACTGCAGGTGTTGTCATGGCAACCTGCTCTCAGTGCCAGCCCCGCCCACAGCCACTCATTCCCCTGCTCCCTCTGTGGAGGAGTCACCGGGAGGTTAACGAGTCAACACGCCGCAGTGGCCACAACACGGCGCTGTTTACCTCCTCCTCCCTCTGCTCCACACAGAGGATTTGATCTCCATCCAAGCTGCAGCAAACAGAGGCTCTGAAGTGTCACCTCTGATATTCACACTCAGAGGACAACAGTATGAACTTCCTCCGAAGCATTGTTTCCAGAATTTGAAGCCCGACTCACAAATCGTGCAATGTTTTTCTTTCATGACAAAGATATTTCTATAACCCTAACCCTAACTCCAGAAAAGCCAAGAACTGACCTTTTTATTGGGCTGTGACAAAGAGGTGCATGTGCATTTCCATAATAGAACTCATATAAGCCTGTACCCGTTAAAGCCCCCTGACAATAAAGACAGGCCCTGCGTATGATCTGAGAAGCATAAACGGTGATGCCAACACAGCTGCAGAAGGGAGTGAGTAACTTGCATGAGGTGTGTTTAAGATGTTTTCATTAGAATAAACTGAGAAATGGAATCAAGTAATGAAATAGAACCACATGGTATAGAATAGTGGTTCCAAAGTACAGGGCAACCCCCCCCCCCAGAGGTCATGGAGCTGTTGCGGAGGAGTGCAAGTTACCTAAGGGGAAGCCATAGAGAGAGTTTGTGAATTGAACTAAACTGTGCAAGTTTGACAGACTGATCAGTGTTGTCTTTGTTTGCTGCTCAGAAACACTTGGCTGGTCTCACACCGCTACGTCCTCTGTTCTCAATGAATTTCACACAAAACATTGTCTCCCCCTCTCGTACTAAACTTAGCATCTCATAGTTCCAGATGCAAGATGACAGTAGAACAACTCAACCTTAAAAGAGGAATAAAAAGAGGACAACAAGCAGAAGGGTAAGGACATTGAGGAGTTAGGGTAGTTTTTGTCATTTGGATAATTTACTCTCCATGCCTCTTGGAATGTCCCTATTACAGCAGGTGTACTCTGGATGAACCCATTTCAACTATGGGGAAGATGGACTCTGCACGCCTGACAGCCTCCCACTGCCATTGGCACCCACTCTCTGATGTAGCAGTTGTATTAAAATGGCGGTGCCGATAATCCAAAAGACCTTTCTCTGGGAGAATTTGAGACCGACTGCACAGATGGGCCACAGAAATAAATAAAAATCTCTGTCACTACGGTTGGTGGAATACTGCCGCGACGCCCCCAAGGGAGAGGAAAAACTGTTCCACTCACTCTCACTCTGATGCCTCCCCCGTCCGTCTGTCCCCCCTTCTCCTCCTCTGATCCCGTCCTTTCAACGGGAACCGGAGCCAGGTTATTCTGCGGTTGGGCTTTTCCTCTCTGCAGCGTACAAAGCAATTTGGAATAAACTTTCCCCTCACATGATGAGCTCAAACAGTCACTAAATGGTCAATCAGACAGAATGTTCTAGTGTGTTTGTCACTGGTCCCAAACACACTAGAACAGAGCAGTCTGGGTCATGAAGATGAGGCCCGGGTGGACCATCTACAATTAGAGGTGTGGAGTTTGGATGATGAGATGAAATGTTGATAGAGAGCTTTTGTCGGGGAACAATGTGAGCGACAGAGAAACAGCAGTGATGCAGACACCGATGCCAAACCTTTATGCACATGTCTGTTTACACTTGCTCGCACAGATGTGCTGCATGTGGTCCAACGTTTCCATCCTCTCCTCAGTACAGAGAGTAGATGGTCACGCAGCCATTCTCAATCTGATAGAGAGGAGGAGAAAGACGTCCAGGAGAAAGCGTCCAGGTCCTCCTCTCCACCAGGACTGGGGTCTCCTGCTCTGCCCTCCCAGGGTCTCTGACAAAATATTGGCTAAACACAGCTGTTGTGATCAGATGATCAAGTTTCTATACAAGAGTACCAGGTAGAAAATAATTATCGATATAGTCGACTACAGCATGTTTTTAAATGAATGGTTGAAGGTATAATATTTTCTCTCCTTATTTGACTTTAGATAAGGAAATGTCACTAGGTTATGTGTAAAGGTATATTTGGAGAACAGAATGTATTAAGGGGTTTGATTAAACAAACAAACAAACAAACAAACAAACAGATAAACCTGATTGTGACTTTACACATGAGAAACTGAGATGTTGTTTATTTGTTTTTAATCACAGAACAGGAAAATAAAAATCTTATGAACCTGAACACAGCAGTTAAGTTTCTCTTAAGTTATGTTTCTAAAAATACAGTTCAATCAGACACAGTGAGTCTCCAAGGTCTTGTTTACTGTTTTCCTTCTGTAGTCTTGTATGAAAGCCCTTCATGTTACTGCTCCCTGGTGTGTGTGTGAAAAGTGCACACTGCTGTTTAGAGGCTGGAATGTTGACTCGTCTGAATTTGATGTTTGCTTCTCTAGAGTGGAGTTTATGCTCTGAAATTATTTTTATACTAAAATAGAGGTGGTTGTGTGCTCATGTTAATGTCGAGTTGGATCTCAGTAAAAAGCCAAATAAAATAGTCAAATCTGACGCCTGATGCTGTTTTCTTTAATAGTTTTTGCAACTCTCTCTGATAGACCTTTTTCTCCTACTCTATGAATCCAGGAGTACAACATTTACGGCTGGTGGGTGGGCGAGCTGAACGGCACCATGGGCATCGTCCCCAAGGACTTCCTGCACCCTGCTTACATCCTCTGAGCACCAACAGGTACCGAGCTACTCTCTTATCATCAGCGTTATGGCCCATTACCGTGGCCGTGATACACACAAATGGTCCCCCTGGTGCTCGTCCAGATTGCCATAGAGGTATATTCAGTCGTTGACCTGCCGTTTATGGCATCTGCTGGCTGCAAAGAAGTACTGTGTAAAGCAGTGTGAGCGATGCAACGACTGAGGATAAATACATGCAGCACAAGCATGATTACAGTGCCGTGGATGTCGTATTTAGGAAAATTATTCCCTAATACAGTCGGATAAGCACAGCTTGAGATGAACACTGAATTATTTATGCACGTTGGTCTGATGGTTCATTTCTCTCTTTCCTCCCCATATACAGAAACCTGCAGCAGCTGCTGACAAAACCAGACACCAGTTTCCATAAGTGTAAATTTAAAAAATAAAGTCAAACACATTTCTCTAAATCCAGCCACAGATTTAGAGAAATGTGTTTGACTTTATTTTTTAAATTGTTGTGATTTTATCAATTCATGGTTCTTGTGATAAATCTGTGCACCATAAAATATTATAAAGCAGAGGTCTCCAACCTTTTTTCCTCTGAGAGCTACCTTTACAAAATTAAAATGGAGTTTTGGGATTCATTTTTATTGAAGAATATAATAATAATAATAATAATAATAATAATAATAATAATAATAATAATAATAATAATAATTGGCATTGTTGCAGTCCACAAAGAACTTCCAGGTAATGAAGGCCCAGCATTGTTCCTCCATTTTGCTCCTGTGGGCAATGTGTGTGTAGATGATATTATATTTTGGTTTAGTTTAATTATTTGGGTTTTTTTTATATAGATATGATACTTTTAGCATTTGGTTGAACAGATGGATTGATATCTTGTTTCTAAAAGATTTTATTTTTTGGGATCCAGTTGTGTGGAAAAATAAAACGACAGTAAAAGAAAATATCAAAAATTCATCAGATGTGTCACATTTGGCTCAATTCTTTGATTTTTAATAATTTATGAGTGACTTAATGTAGTGTGCCTTGATCTAATGATAACAGAGTTAGTCTTCTAAATGAAAAATCGTAGGTTTAAATGTTGTCTCTTGTGTATTTTTAAATGTTGACCAAATTAGATTTATTTTATTTTTCTGCACAATGTCGCCGCCTGTTGGGCTTAGTGAGCACAACTGACTGCACTTTACACGTGTATTATCATTATAAGTATCATTATTTATCATTATTTTAATTTTTTTATTTGATTTTTGAAAGATATCTATTTCATTCATTTTCCACATGGACAGTTTAGCGTAGGAACACATTTTATGATGAAATCTTGTCAAGCAATGCGGTCAGTTGTTCGGCTTAGCTCCGCCAACAACAAGATCCGGCCAATAGGTTGTCTGCACGTCACGCCCTTACGTCACGGGAACTTGTTGATAAGTGCAATTGCTCTTCTCAGACAACAGAGGGCAATAGCACTCATCAACAGGTTCCCGCTGAAACGTTGACGTCAATGTTTAGGCGGGAACTTGTTGATGAGTGCAATTGCTCTTTTTAGACAATAGAGGGCGTGACGTACAGACAACCTATTGGCCGGACCTTGTTGTTGGCGGAGCTAAACCGAACAACCGACCACATTACTTGACAAGATTTCATCATAAAATATGTCCTTACGCTTAACCGCCCATGTTGAACATGAATAAAATAAATATTTTTCGGTGGAAGAAAACCAAATTAAAACATGAAAATAATGATAAATAATGTGATTACTTATTCAAATAGGTTTATATCTCAATATTATAATAATAAATAATAATAGTATATACTTTTACTACTGTTTAAAATCGATGTAACTAAAGCTAAGTTCGGTACCACACATTTATGTCTTTTGACGTTTGTAGACTTGTAGAGTAAAAAAACAAAACAAACAATAACAGCATATTTGTTCATTTTTCAGCAATCCACAAGACACTATTTAAACCAGCAATTACTAAATCAAGGACCACTACATCAGTCACTTACGAACTATCAAAAATCAATAAAAAGAGCAAAATTGGACACTTAAGACTTTGATACTTTGTTATGTCATTTTAAAATGTGTTAGAAACAAAAAATCGTCAAAAACAAGAAACTAAATATGGACCGATCTATATATTGTTCACCAAAAATTCTATAAATACACTATTAAAAATCTTTTTTTTTTTTTTTTCTGGATTAAAAATTACAAGACAAACAGAGACAAATCTTTTGAAATAGAATTTTATTTTTGGGGGGTGTTGACGCATTCTGAATATTCAGATTTGGTGGATATGTCTCTAAATGTAGCTTAATAGTATAATGAGAAAAATGTATAACTGAAAAACTAAACGGTAAATTTACAGGACAGCTCACAAAACCCTGAAGCCTTTGTACCTTGTAGATGTCCATTTATACGTGATGCATGATGAAGTGTTAACCGCGAGTCCCTTTAAAAGAAGCAACATGAGAATGAATAGTGTACACAGACAAGAGTACTGCGTACTAACAACAGAGTGCATTCGGGTAATACATAAAACAGTTTTGGCAATGACTACTGATGAAAACTACATTTACACATGATTTTATTTCTCCCCAATTCACAGTTCTTAATATTTTCCTGAGTCAAGTTTGAGCATTTTTGAGATGGGTTTTTTTCAGTGATTAAATACAATATGAGAGTGGAAGCCTGGGAAGTACAGTTTTCAATTACATTTTTCCCTCCAAATAAACAGAATAAATGGTTAAAGAGCTATCAGTTGCACTGAAATATAAACACTTGCAACAAACTTGTACAAACTGCAAATATAAAAAAACAAAACAATAAAATCCAACATAACTAAAAGAAAGTTGTTGAAAAGAGATTTCATGACTTTACTCAAGTTACAGCTAAAAACTTGTTTTTATTCCATATGTAGTGACAACATAACATGAACATTAACTTAAATGTTTCTGTTTACCTCTTTTATCCAATGATAAAAACTATTTTTTATAACCATAGAATAATCTGTTAAAACAAAGTTAATCCTACAATGTGACTGACTTGTACCTTAAGTTCAAAGTGCTGCTGATCTACTAGGAAGCAGATAAAAGCATTCATCCATATTCAATGTACTCTGTTATAACTATTGACTTTTTAAGTGAAATGAAGACCTGTGGTTGCAGGTGATGGTTGCAAGCCCTGGAAAAAGAGTCAGAGTCATCTACTGGTTGTGAAGAAACTTTTTAGTGTGATCTTCACTCACAGATTTTAAAGCATGTTCTACTGAAAGAACCCTATAGAACAGAACTCTTCAGAACATAACTCAAAAACTGTAGTTAGGGTTTTTTTCTTTCAACACCAGCAGAATCATTCTAGTCATCTTCTCTGTCTTCACTGATGGTTTATGATGCAACACATCTACCAGCAAGTACCAGGTTAATTCAAATGTACCTGAATCCATCTCAGGCAGAAGACAACCTCCACTGTCCATGCTCTGGACCAGTGAGGTCGCAGCTACCTTGAGACCAGCTGTGTGGTCTAACACACCTCCACCTCATGCGTCTCTTCGGCAGTGTCCAAACTCAGCACTGACAGTGTTTGTTCCTCTGTCCTTTTACCTTCAGTTCTTCCACTTGTGCAGCTGCTTTCCAAGATGCTGAAATCACTGTTTTCACTACAGTCTCCACAGGCTTCAGTGGAGGTGAAGTCTGTAGAGGACATGTACTGAAGGTCTTCATCATCCTGGCCAGAAATGTCTTCATTTTCCACAAAACATCCATTGAGCTGAAGGTCCAGAATATTTTTGTTGGGGGCTTCCACTTCTGACCAGTGAGAAATGTTCTGAGGAGACGGACCCACTGACTTCTTGGTCTCCTCACACGAGCTGTCTTCATCACTGACCTTCATGATGCTCTCATTGGAAGAAGGCAGTGAGTGTTTGTCCTCTTCACTCTCATTCACGGTCCCCAACGAGTCAAGTCCTTGTTCAGCGCAGTTTTGCTTTATCTGTAGAACGGCACCATCATTTTCGCCTTCCACCTCCCCACTGCTTTCACTTTTGTCACATTCTTGGTCTTCAAAGTGTTGTTCCTCATCTAATTCCTCCATGTGGCTCATGTCAGCATCAGGAACTTTAGTGTCATCAGTGTGGTTGGCCTCACAGGTGAGGTGGTTTTCCACAAGGGGTTTGTTGGAGAAACCAACCTTCTCTGTAGAGCTGGGATGTATTTGATCAGCCTGTTCTTCTGCATCGTCATTGCCAGAATCCAGAATCACTACAGAATCCTCACCTTTAACCTCATCGGAATTATCTGGCTGTCTGACCTCAATGTAAATTTCTTCTTCTTTTGTCATCAGGACATTTGCCTCCCCACCCTCTCCTCTCCACATACTTTCCTCTCTAACGTATTCCAAACCAAAGTCCTGCCCAGGCCCACCCTCCATGGGTGAATGCACTTCCACTGGTGTCTGTATTTGACCACTCCTGGACAAGGTGCTGTCTGCTAGGTCAACACTCTCCTGTTCACTGGGGCTGTCGCCAAGAAAAAAAGTGGCCTCTATAGAGCTGGTGTCGCATTCCACCACAGCCTCCAGATGGTTGTTCCTCTGGTAGACCTTTACTGAGGAGTTCCTCTTGTGCTGAAACTCTACTGGGTCCAGTAAACTTGCTAGAGGGTCACGGCCCTCACATGAAGTCAAAGTACCTTCACTCTGAAGACTTGCCTGATGAGGAGCTGGGCTGTGCAGTGACAGGAAAAAAAACATAAGTACTTCTAAAAACTTAGCTTGATAGAGTTGGTAGATCTTAATGGTGGTTTGTATATATGGCAGAGTTTTTTTCAGAACGACATTAATTAGTCTTAATTTAAATAATTATTCATTTCCACAGCACTCTTTTATTTCACTGTTGCTAAGGAAGCCCTTTCTTAATCTTAGCAGTATTTGTAGTTCCTCAACTTGGTCTATAGATGTCACCATTGCTCTATGAATTATTGAACTACAGAAATGTTTCTACAACGAGAGCAGCAGTTCTTCAATTGTCCACATCTCAAAGATCTGTGCTCAGCTTCACAGTGAGCCAGGCTCACCCCCCCAAACCTCCTCCTCCATACCTCTCCATGGACTCATAAGAGATGGTCAAACTTGGCTCCTTCATGGAATCATCCTCCTGAGTCTGAGCCTGAGCCTGAGCCAGGCCCCAGTTGGACGAGGCATAAGTGAGGATGGCCTCGGTCACAGTGTAGGGGGTGTGACCCCGGACGCAGTCCTCAATGTGACCAACAGGCAGCTGGGTCTGCAGGAAGAGGTGGAGCTGGCTGTCTGACAGGCACACTGTCATGTGCAGCACTCTGTCAGGATAAAGGCACCAGAATTGATCAACGCTTTTCTGACACATAAACCGTATTAAATCTTGAGTGTTTGTCTAAGAGAAGATGTTGGAAAACCAACTTGTCCAAGAAGGCCTGGAGCCCTTTCCTTCTCCTCTCCAGAAAGTCCTCATTAGTGAAGGAGAAGAATGACTTTCCTGGAAGGTCTGGGACAGGTCTGGAAGGATGAGAAGAAAAATATTTCACTGTAGGTTTTTCTTTTTTAAAAAAAGGAAAAATCTTACCTGCCTAGAACACTCATCACAGTTGCTTACACCAAACCAGCGTTCTTCTGCAGCTTCTTCTTGAGCCAGACGAACTCACTGTAGCGTCGACGAACACAGGAGGTCTTGGCCGTGAAGGCTTTACTATTTGTCTGGAAGAAAGCATTGAACAAAGCAGCAAAGTGAATTAGCTGATGCTCAGACCAACATTATTTTATATATTATTTATTTTAAAAATATTTTCAATGTTAGACTTAAAATCAACAATTGCGTCTTGTTTTTTTTAATGACAAAAGCACCAACAAAAACCCCATCCAGACAGCCATTTGCTTCACGCACAACGTAAATGATGTCACATGCCATTGGTTCCAGGAACATGTGACAATGTTCACTAATGGTTGTGTAACAAGTCATCTTCTGGCAGGACATAATCAATTTCAGGATAATTACTGGAGGTCTGATGTCCATGTTATTTAAACACATAAACCAAACCATTACATTAATAATATTATGAAAATACTGAGAGCCAGTACTGAAGTCTTATTTTTGAAGTCAACAACATATCATTGGGTTAAATGACTGTTGTTGTTTTTTTTTATTCAGCCCAATTCCCGGCTTCTACATGGTAAAAAAAAAGCTAAAAGAAGTTATTTAAATGTCCAGTCAATAAATTGTTGTCATTATTTATTATTTAAAGACCAAACATTAACCTTATTGTCCTTATAGTAATTTGTCCACATGTATCAGTAAAATATCTGCTCAGGTGTAGAGCATTTTTTTTCTGAAGTTTGAGATTACAGTAAAACAATATCTACACATTAGTGTGCAATATTTAAACTTGAATGATCATAAAAATAAATAACAGGTTTTCATTAATACATTTTGGAACAATTACTTGAGTACATTTTTCTTGTTACAATTGACCAGTGATCGAAATAGTTCATGAATACATGACGAAAAAGAGACTTTGCTGTCACTGTGTTAACGTGAAGCCTGACACCATAGAAAACATCATTATGAAAAGTGACGAAAAAAGCCAGCGGGTCATTACAGCAGGAGAATAAAGTGATCAAATGTACAATCATGTGCAGTCACATGCCATCAGCCGGTGCCATGAGTCAACATAAGGCAGTGTGCATGGTGTGTGAGCACCACGCCTTTTTGCTGACAGCGTTGCTCAACAGTCTGCTGCTCTGGGCAAAGATAACAGCAAAAGAGAAATTCCTCAGCTGCAGACACAATGATTTAAATGTGTGTAATGTTTTACACCGTAACGTGTTAACGTTTTACAGAACATTTATTAAAAATTCATTACATACATTAAACATACAAAGTGATGCTTCTGAGATTGTTCAACTATTACAACTGCTACAATTAAATTATTTTCATAAGAAAAATTAATCAGAAATTGAACTGTTAGTTGTTAAATTATGTGGCCAATAAAATAAATACATTTGTAATTAAAAAAAAAAAACTAACACGATTAAAGATTCTAGATATTATTTTGTCAATGTTCAAATTATTCAATGTATTTAAATATACCACAAAAAGATCTCTGATAATCATAATCAGCTACTCATGATAGTTGGAAGTTGTTCATTAGTTACACTTTTATCAACTAATCCACAAGCACCACCCATGAAATTGTAGTTTTGTCTCAACACTCACATGTAGGAATATTTTATAATCCACAAATGAATTCCACGATCCTTCATTGTGAATGCGGGGATCCTGGACCCGCACTGCGACAAACTCCTGAAGTAAAAAAAACAAAACAAATTTCACAAGAACAAACATACCTGTATCTGTGTGAATATAAGGAACCATTCATATTCAAAAAAAGTTACAAATTATTCATTAACGACAAAAAAACATTAGGCAACTCACATCATCGTGATTCCTGCTCATCCTTTCAGGTGCTGCACTGAAAAGAAGAAAACATAAATGAATAATTTGAATCAAAATCTCATGTCATGATCCTGTTTGTGTGTCACTGGGTGAGTGACTAAAAAAAAACAAAAACAAAAAAAGAAGAAGTTAGAAAGCACTGAACCTCATGAGTCATTCTCTTGGTCACTTCTCTCTGTGACCACCCACAGTAAATGACATTTAAATACATCACATATGTAAACACACTTTTCGCATTTCAACAGTTAAAAAAAAAAAAAAACACCACAACCAGTCAATGTTTCAACAGAGTTCCATCTGTTTCCCTGCACCTTCCTCTGTACCCCTCAGTTTGTCTCACTCTCTGGTGATGACTTCAGAGATAGAAACTGTTTTAACTGTATTAGAAAACACAGATTATGGGATAATTGATTAGTTCTCCCATAATCTAATATTTTCAATACCTAGTCAAGGAAATGTTCTCTGTGTCACTGACTGGTGTTTGATTAACTTGACAATTCCTAATGTAATATTTTTTAGACAGGAACTAGGGTTCAAAGTGATCTCTTCACACTAATTCGTTCACCATCTACAGCCAATGATAATCAATTTATGGTAAAGTGATATAGCATAGCATGCCATACAGAGAAACGATAAACTGCAAAAAATCGTTTCACAACACATCAAAGACGCAAAGAGACAAAATGTAAAACCACAGACACGCAATGTCCACCGAACACTAATGGAAATAAACAGACATTCCAGTTACAATACTTCCCTCCCAGACTGAGCTGATTTCCTTTGGTTCTCGTCATACTCTAGTTTGATCAAGATATGATCACTCCGTCGTGCTGAGTTCACTGATTATTTCATAACCTGTTCTTGTTGGGTTTTTTTATGAACATTGCCGTGTGTGAAAAGAGAGAAATTGTACAATGATGTTTAAGCCTCGGAAAGACACGCAATTATTTGTACTTTAACATTTGCAACCCCAAAGTACTAGACAACATTAATAGGAGACACGCAGGTATGAAATGTATATGTATGTATATGAGTGTATATTTTTCGAAAATTAGATAGTGGATGAAAAAATAAAGAGTGTAGATTTAAAGTAAGCAGGGTTGGTTATACCTTTAAATCTTTTCTCTACATGAAATGTGCCAGAGTTGCTTTTTAAAATAAAAGCTGATACATTAACAATACAAAACACACAGAAACACCTCACTAGTACTGATGGTTGTCGACATTTTTTTAGGTTATGAGCTTGTTATATAATACACACACTAAAACACAGATTTATCATAAAAAACTGTAATTAAGACACAAAACAAACATAAATAGTTTCAGAACTTTGTGTGTGTAGCCACAAATTGCAGCTTATAGAAATTTAGCTAAAGGCTAATTGTGGCTGAGAAATACTTACTTTCAAGGGGTGAACGTCAGCTTTTTTGATATATGGAAGCTTATCTTTGTTCTTTTAGTCGGCAGCACTTCTTTAACCGAAAATAAAATGTTAAATAACAGGAGCTTCTTGCTGCGACCTGCTACTGTCTCCATTTCGCAAGTCACAAGCGTCGCTGTTAAGACACCATTTAGGGACTTCCTGTGGGACCGGAAATACGTACCCATATAGGCGCTGCTTAATTTAGCAAAATAAATGTCTTTCATTATTAAAAGTTAAAAAGATGCAAAAAAATAAGGACATTTTATATTATAATTACGTGATTAATATTGTAATAGTACGTGTGTTACCATAAAAGACAAGGTTACAGTTAACATAAAGTACTTCAGATAAATATCGAGGGAATAGTTCATCTAGCGTATTCGGATTTTTTTTTTAATATCTCAATTTCCTACGGAGATTTAGAATCTCGAAACAAGTCATTTATCCCTCGTACAGTGGTGCCTTTCCATTGATCCAGTCCACCTTTGCGTTGCACTTCGTCATCACAGATCTGTACATCAATCGCCCGTAATGGCAGCTTCTGTATTTGCCTGATGAGTGAATCCACATATTTTGCAAATCTGTGAAGCTCTTCGTACGCAGCGTACAACGCGGACTCTTTTCTTTTTTCTTCTCCCATTCCAGACACTGGGGCGGAAACGACTTATTTTCAACACAAACCGTATCATCGTTAGCACTGTATAGTACATCGTTTTGTTGATTTACATATATTTGAAATTCTTCAAGTCGAATTTAAGGGTAAGTCATCGTAAGGTGAGTTGGGTATTTTTCTCTCCTCTCCGCCCCCTCCTATTCTGTTCCCTTCTCCTCCTTCCAAACGTGTTGTGTTTGCTTATGCATGGAATGAACACTTTAGTTAGCATAAGGAATTATCACGCGTGGTAATGCGTGTTCGATTTTAATGTATAATTTGTGCAGAATTTTAACACGACGCGGGGTAAATAGGAGTGCTTGGAGCCGTCATACATCCCCGTGTTCACATCAGTTGATAACGAGGAGGCAATATGGAGGAGATAGGGGCTGCAATAACTGGGTCCCCGCAACGCTTTGTCGTGCTAGACAAAACAACGTTTGCAGAAAAATGGCCCTAAAACATGCACGGGTCGATGTTTAAAAAAGACAAATAAATAATTATCGTCACTATGTACCCACATGGAACAGCATATGTTTACCGCCCACTGCCAGGTGCTGGAACCCAGCGCTCTGCTGTCGGAGGAACCAGGTCCACTGTCATAAACACACGCCTGCTAATAGTGTTTTATAAAAATTATCAACAGGTACATGTCCCCATCTCTCCCCCCTTTTTATACTCAAACTCCAACCCACCTGTGTGCCCCACAAATCATTTGAGTTTATAACATGTCGAAAGATGCATGGGCAACTTTTGTCTGTGCAGTATAGACAATGTTATTTTTAAAAGAACTCTATAGTTTTAATTACTAATTGGTTTAATAATCAGTCCAGGACTGAAAATATTAAACTAACCCACACATTTTCGCAATTTGGACATGGACATTATGCAGAAAGTATCCAAAAAAGCAACTCAGGAAATCTCTAACAATATTTATTTAAATATTTATATTTAATAATTAAAAGTAATCTGCTAAATTGTTGTAGATGGGCTATTAAATGTGACGTTCAGCAGCACTAACACATACTTATTTGGATGTACAGTATTGTCAAATGTGGTTTATGGTACATTTGTAAATTTGGTTGATGAAAGTTTTCATGGTTTGGAGGTGTACAGCCCCTCAGGTAACTAAATGTGTTTTTTGAATGTTATAATAAGATAAGATTGTAATTAGATTTATACATAAACTATTTAGTTGCACAACCTCTGTGCTTATAGTTCTACCTGTTATTGAGACTTGATGGGGAGTCACATGCTCTTTGGTTATAACATTTACATTTATGCATTTAGAAAATGCTTTTGTCCAGCAACTTAAATACAAAGTCAAATGTCCCTTAGTCTACATTTCTGTTTATAACCACTATAATAGTTTTGGGATAATCTAAATCTGAGGATGGAACCTGTGAAGAATCGACACCGACATAACAGCAGATCAAATCTGAAAATCCCATAATGGCCCATAATCTGCACTGTGGAACATTGTTGCCCATGTACCTTTGTTAGTAAAACCCATGCTCCAATGCTGTGTTCTCCTCTCTACCTCCTTGTCCCCACCATGCAACAATCTTGCCGTTGACCAGGAACCTGCTGGTCCCCAGTTCTACCTGATGAGCATGAGCCAGACTACAGAACCCTCTAAAGATGGCCCCACTGTTACAGAAGGTTTTATATGGTTTTTATATCACTTTTCCAACATGAATATCTCTGTATCTCTTGTCCTTGGGCAGTGGGGTGTGTGTCACAGGTAAAAACAACAAAGAAACAAAATTAATTTATTTCACCTATAAATCTTTGTCATCCATTCGAAGCTGGACTAGGTTGGATTCACTGCTGTCTATCTGTAAAACAGAGAAACAATTGTGAAACAAATGTGGAAACATTATTAGTGCAGCTGGGATTATAGCACAATCAGAGTTTCATTTTCAAGTCTTAACAGTCCTTGATGTAGTGGTCAGAAGAATAATTATCTTTTCAATTATTCACTTTTTGTTACCCGTCAGAGAGCAAAATGACTTCAGCTGAGAAGAAGGACAAAAAGGCAGATGATGTGGCAGAAGAGGAAGAGGAGGAGGAAGAGTATGTGGTGGAGAAGGTCCTGAATCGACGGGTGATGAAGGGGAGAGTCGAGTACCTCCTGAAGTGGAAGGGCTTCTCTGAGTGAGTCCATTACTGTGTAAAGTGTTTAATTAACCAAAAATAGGCATTCCTTTGTATACCTGGTGAAGCTTGACTCCTAATTAATTTCTCCTTGTACTGTTCTGACATCTGTAGTGAAGACAACACATGGGAGCCAGAAGACAACCTGGACTGTCCAGATCTGATCGCAGAGTTTCTGCAGTCCCAGAAAACAGCACATGAAGGAAAGAGAAAGGCAGGCGGAGATGCAGAAGGAGACGAAAGCAAATCAAAGAAGAAAAAAGACGAAGTAAGACCAGCATCTTTGTTGTTAACTGTGTTGATATACTGTTTGGTTTAAACTAAGTTAGAATGTTTCTTAAAGACTGACATGTTAACATAGCTGTAGCACGGCATAGTAATGCTGATATTATGGGTCTGCCCCAAAGGAGCAGAAACCCCCCCAAAACAACTGCCCTCTTCCCCAAAACTCACACAATCATTTACACTAGAGCTGAGAGGATTAATTGAAGGTAAATGATAGACTGATTACATATATAACCGATTTAAATTTGCACACACATGCTTGCATAAACACAAACAAATTGAGATGTTCAGTGTACTCTATGCATCAGTTGAGTTTTCAAAAGTTCTGTTACTTCTCTGAAATCAATGACAAAAATGGATAAAAACCAGCCCATGAAAATCCAAACATTCCTTTCATGTTTTGTGCCTCCCTATTAGTGCTCTGGCGCCCCCAAGAGGAGGCGCGCTTCACACTGCTCTAACTGGTAAATGAAGTTAAAAGAATAGACATGACACAAAACAAGATCTTTTTGCTGTACAGATGTTATCATTGTTTAAACTTAAGGATGGACAGACAACACAAAGAACAACGTCCTCACAGTTAAACACAGAGATGGACACTAGATGTGCTTCAGTGATTCGGCAAGTGTAAATGTCATATAGTGGTAAAAAACCAAGAAAAAGATTATATGAAGTATAGGAAATTTAAAAGCACAACGTCAAACAACCAGAAGCAGTAATGGTTGGATCAGAGTTGTATTTTTGTTCTCTGCTCCTCAGGCAGAAAAACTGAGAGGATTTGCACGGGGTCTAGATCCAGAGAGGATCATCGGTGCCACAGACTCCACAGGAGAACTAATGTTCCTGATGAAATGGTTTGTGTTTACCATGCATCACCATCACTGTTATTAACTGTATTAAGTCAATAAAAATCATCCAGTAATTGTTTTTTTCCTGATTTTCTAATGAAGGAAAAATTCTGATGAAGCAGACCTGGTGCCGGCCAAAGAGGCAAACGTGAAGTGTCCGCAGGTGGTCATATCTTTCTACGAGGAGAGACTCACCTGGCACTCATATCCATCCGAAGATGAGAAAAAGGACGACAAAAACTAAGAACAGAATTCCATTGTACTTTGAACAGGGTTTTCGTGATGGGAAGGAGAAGGTACGGCAGCAGCAGGAACAAGCAAGACACCCTTGGAGTCATTTGATGTGTCATCACTCATTTCTTCTTTTATCTGGACATGAATGAAATGTATATGATTCAAATTTTCTCCACAAAACTGTCGGTTTGTATGCAAAGACGGTATCATACCCAGTCCATTCAAGTTTTAAGAGTCGTCCAGATATTGTCAACATCCTTTCTTTTAATCAGTGCTGTTCCCAGGCTGTAACAACTTGCTCTTGATGTATCAAAGAGGTGATGATATTATTTCATCAGTGTGCCATTGTTTTTTTTTTTGTTTTTTTTTTATCTTTACTCATTGGTGCTTTGGGCAAACCTCTGCCCATCTTAGCTCTTTCTGTAGTAGTTGTTTGATGGTTATGAAGCTTCTTCACAGTCAACCCTGTTATCACTGGTTTATCTTTTAAGTGTTATCCTGTTATGTCTTGCCTGTATGTTTTTTGGAAATAAACCCAATTTTTTGTTATTTTGCTGCACCATGCTTTCTGTACATCCAGTTCAGAAAGTTCACAGGAATTTCTAAGGTTCAATCAGTAAAACTATACCAGTCTTTACTCAGCACACGTTTGACAAATATGGCTTTGAAGACAGAATATGTGCTTAGACGTCCAGCCTGCAGTCCAGAGATGTGAGTCCAAGAATGACAATGGTGACCACATCGCATCAGTCAGAAAATGTGTAATTATGAGGAAAAAAAATTATTGTGTCGCATTATTTACTGATCAAGCATCCAAGAATAAACTTTTAATATGGAAAGACTTTTCATTTACACAAAAGCCTTAAAAAACATAGGCCAAATGTATTTATATGTTCTTAAAAGAAGTCTTTCTAGTTTAGTCACGTCTTTGTTCAGTGGTGTGGTAAGTAGCATTCAGTTGTCACCAGTGTTGATGGTGCCCTTTGTGGCCATTGATGATATGCAGTATATTGTTGATAAGTTGCAGAATCAGCCAAACTACTACAATAAGCACAACTTATATTCTGGAAAGTACAGTTGTGTTGTTGGGTATTTTCCTAGGTATACCAATTTCTCTGGATATGGGGTTTGTCCTTGAGAAGAACAGTTCTGACTGGTGACCAAATGTTCAGTAAAAAGCACCACATTGATTACAACCAGGACACAAGAGTCATGGGTGAAAATAAAGACACTTTAATTGATAAAAACAACTTGATTGCCAGCAAATATCTTAAAACAGAAAACTACATTCAAACTGAGAGCAGAGGGTGAAAGTGTGATGGAGACATTTGAAGAACCTTCAGTAATCATGACAAACAAACATGGAAATATTTACATAACAAGACAGACAAAAAAGTGCACCAAGTAGTAGCATCATTATTAAATAGTGGGTGTTGCACTGGGTTACACTGAAGTGAATGTTGACCAGAGTTTCATGCCTGATAAAACACATTTATAACCATAACGTCTTGACTTTAAAAACCTTTTTTTGGACTCTGTCTTAAGTTCAGTTTTGTAAATACTCTAACCTAACGTCTACTCAAGTGTGAAATCTGGCCTGCATTTGTTTACAAAGTATGATGTGACGAGTGGACTGACAAATATTACTTGAACAGACGAGTAATAGCACTTCTACTTAAAGAACAGATTTTCTTCCAGTTCTTTAAAACCTCATGGAGAAAATGAGACTGTGAAATGAAGGCATTCGACTCAAAGTGGCCACGATGCACGCTGTCATTTCATACATTCAAAAACTTTCACAAAACAACTTGGCTCACTTTGTTCAACAGAAAAAAGAAGACTTTGAATACTTAAGCCAAAAAAAACTCGGCTTCACAGCAGTTAAAAAGTGCCTTCAGTGGCTTTTCATTGGCTATCATTGGCAAAAACCTTTTCTTAGAAGGGATGTCGCCCTACCACCGCGACAGCTCTGCCTGTTTTAAGCTAATGCTCAAAATGGGGCATCAGACGACAAGGAAAAACCCTAGCTTGGATATGTAACAGCCTTTAGTTGGTTAGTGATAACACGTTATCTCTAAAATTCCACGGCTCTTCAGAAATTACAGGCTCTGTGACGAACTTTTGGAAATTAACTAAGAGGATGTAGACTTATGTAAAAAGCTCAAATGTAATGTAATGTAATGTGGCTAAACCTTAAAACCTGCTTATACTAGATTATGAACAGTTAATAAGAGCCTTTCCTTAAACGCAGCTCTGGTATTTAAACCTGCGGCGAAGGGACTAGCGACGGACACGGCAAATGCATTACAGCCAAGCCTTTTAAAAGACAAATTACAGTGCTATGTATAATTTATAAGGAATTTGATACATTTGCAATGCAGTGTGGCTCCTCTCTAAAACATCCACCTCCTCCTCCTGTAGGACTTCATCTCCAACCCTCTTCAGGCAGCAGCCAACCTGACAACTGCCAAATACACACCTCGCAAAAGTCAGACCTGATATCTTTTGGGCCTCAGGCCTTGGATGCCGTTTCATAACCGACCGCTTGAATTTGCAAGGAGAACCCTCAGAACTAGAGTGCAGTATGAGAACAATTGAGATGTATTCTGATCAACGTGAGAAGGCCAGTACAACCTTTTATGAATACAGATCCTCATGGCACCCCATGAACTCTTCATGCTGTTCTCGGCATAAAGACTTAACACTTGAAAACTAATAGTCTCCAGGGTCGGGAGCTCATCTCTGTCCTTAAAAAAACCTTCAGATCAAAGGTACTCTCCAACAACCCCCATGGACTTTCATTGGTACTGATGCCTTCTTTCTTTCCTCAAACAAATACACTCCAGCCTCAGTGGTTTGGTGCAAAAAGGATCGAGAGCAGCTAAATCTTTCCAAGAGCTCATTTCATATCCTTTGATATTCCCTTCCTCCCGTTCCTCATTCTCTCTGCTTATTGTCTCCCTCCCCCATCCAAACAACATAGTGGTACTCAAATGTATAGAACTACTTCTGTTTCAAAGTTTTTTTCCAGGAAAAGAAATGGAACAGAATGAAAAGGGAGAAACTAATGCAGGAAGAGTAGTCAACAAATGCCGTTCCTCTACTCACCATCATCTTCTCAAAGGAAAAAAGGACGCCTCTCTTGCATTTGCAGAAATCTTTCTCTTTTAGCAAAGTGACAGAGTAAAGAGCAGTGTGTTCCCTTCCTCTTCACTTCTTTTTGTCCTTCTGTTTTTTCTCTGCCTTACGGTTCTGCTCCGCAGTAGCACTCATGCTACGGGGCATGATGAGCACGCTGCCGTCGGTGCTGTACTGCAGCGAATACTCACTAGGAGGATAGGGCCGGCCCTCCTCATCTCGGAGCTGACTGAACACCTCCTGGTACAAATTTTGCATTTTCTGCTTCATCTGCCTGATGGAGCGGATGAACTCCATCTTCTCCTTCAGCAGCCGAGACTTGTCACGCCTTAGGTCTTGGACGCCTTGCTCCAGGTTTATGATGGCGTCCAATTTGCGCTTGCGGCAGTTTTGGGCCGCCATTTTATTCTTGCCCCGCCTTCGAATATCTCGGATGAGGGCAAGTTGGGCTTCGTTCAGGTGGTGCTTGGCCAGAAGCTCGTTGAACTCTTCTACGGGCAGGTTGATGATCTTTTCGTTGGAAAAGGGGATTTTCATGGCCCGGGCTCTGCGCTCATCGCGACTGGAGTGCTTATCCATCAAGTCCTGAGTGGGGTGAAGCCTTGAGCTATGCTTGTCGCGTACTGTTTTCTTCGCAGTTGTCAGCGGGAGCTCTGGCTGCTCAGAGAATGCAGAGGAAAGCGGCAGATTGTAGGTGTGATTGTGGCTGATGCCATCAAGCTGCGGCAGGTTGTGGAACTGGGAGGGATCCTGGTAACTCATGCGACAGAGTTTGCTGTATCCGGGCTGGAAACCTCCAACAGCCCCTTCCTCTGTCTCTGCAGTGGCAACTTCAGAGTCAGTGCTATATCCTACAGCTCCTTCCTCTGAAAAGGTGGCAGATGTTGAGGAGGAAGATGCCGCAGAAGAGCAAGATGTCTCGGAGCTGCTTGGTGAAGCTGGGCTGTGGCTGGAGTCCAGGGAAAGACCAGAATCCGAGTCCAGTTCGTCTTCCAACTGAGAGGCCTGTGCCTGGCTGAATCCCTCTTCCATGGCAAGGTCTAACAAGCTGATCTCATCGAGCATAGA